ACACTTCATATAAAGAGTTTTGTAATTTGATAGTACTCCAAACAACAAGCAATTTGTGTTTGTGACTTAGCTGGTTGCATTTTGATTGGTTGATCAAGTATTTATTTATATCTTTGGGAAAATTACCTTTTTTCACTAAATTTTTGGAATCATTCTTATCTTAGGTGGACTAATGAAAAATTATTCATCACAAAGAATAAAGCATTTATGGAAACGTATCCCATAATTATCTAAAACTCTCCACAACTATGTTGTAAAATAAAAACTCATAAAAACAAATGGCACACATGCTATCTACTATGTTACTCATTAAGTTATTGTAGTAATTTATTCAAATCATTATAGTTTGTGATGTAATATGCCAACATAAAAAATGGATATCTCAATCATTCAGACAGAATTTAGTGTATATCAGCTTAATTATGAAAATTTAACCACACTAATTCTGCAACAGATTCATATTTAAAGATATATAATCAAATATTTTGTTCAAAAGGATATAAAATTAACTAACTAACTAAACTTACAGTTTTGTAGGTATGAAGATTCACTGAGAGTAAAATAAAAACATCAGGACATCTGGAATGCAGAACAGTCTAAAATAAAAGAATAAATAAAATCCATAATCAGCAGAAAATAATAAAACAAGCTGAATTAAATATAATACTCATTACATAATAATTTTACATTCTACTAGTATGCGGATTGTTTAAAGCTAACACATGACATAACACACCCAATATGCACAAAACAATGAAACTTTGGAATTTTTTTTATTACATTTACTAATTAGATTTACAATTTCTTTCACCAGCATGTGTAAACCAAATGTAATAAAAATAACTAGAGCACAGAATGTAACAAGAAAATACATTGGTAAGAAATATTAAAACTATAATCTAAAACTATCAATTTCCTTGGGTAATGATGGTACTATAACACTTCTTCAAATTTTACACCAATAAACATTTAAAGTTTGGTTGTCTTGTACAATAGTTAAAAGAGTTACTTAAAATATCTAATAATAATAAAATATATTCATTTTTTTCCATTTTTAGAATAAAAATGTATTTCAAACAGGTAGTTACCTCTGAAATACTGAAAGCCTTTCCTTGTTAAGCCTGAACACATGCTGTCAACAAACTATTGGACTAAACATTTCAGAAGATTCTTTACATATTGCAGAGCACTTACCCGTAATTCTATGATCAGAACATCCTTTACATATTGCAGAGCACTTACCTGTAATTCTCTGATCACATGATTGCTTACACAATAAGTCACTGAGCAAGAATCTAGAGATTTTGCTCTGGTTCTACCTTCCTGCCATAGTCGTGATGAAAATTGAGTTGTGGGGAGGTGGAAGGTATTTCAGAGATAAATGTCTTTTTGAAATTCACTTTAATTTTAAAAATGTAAAATTCAAACCAGGTAAACTTACACTTGAAATACTAAAAGTCAGAATACCCTTATCGTAAAGAAGGTAAGAACCAATGGACATGAAAAGGAACCAAAAATATAAAATTTCAAACTATAGACAGGAAGATATTAAGTTAGAGTATAATCCAGAACTAGAAAATGATACACAAAACTGGATTCAAGAGAGAAAGAATGAGTGGAGTGGACCAGCCTTAAAAAAAGTCTGGATCTCAAAAACATTCAGAAAGAAGACATTTTTCTCAGCAAGGTACCTCTTCACCTATGAATTCAGTTTTGTAAGTGATTAATGGTGTATTGAAACTGTAGATCCAACAACAGAACACAGGTAGTAGCATAAACTAGTACGAGGAATACTATGTTCTGCTCCTGCAGTGGAAAGTTCTCAGGGAAGCAAGCCAGAAATGTATTATGAAGAGACGGTATCCCTCTTCATCAACATCGTCGAGAATGTCTAGTGAGTCACATAACCAGCCAAATTAGTGGGCATTCTGGAAGACCAAAGCAGTCCTGAATGATAAGTTCAATAATATGAGGACAGTGTATGAGAACAACAAAATTTAAATAAATACGAATAAAAACGCAATGATCTCAATCCTACTGATAATGGTAGTCCCATTTCCAATATCTCTAATGCCACACAAGGATGTGTACTGGAGGTGGGAAAGGTGCCCACCCAGGCATCATTAATTAAAAGATGGCATCCTCTGTTCACTTCCAAAGGGTAGTGCCCTCTCGTGAGTCAAGGAACTCCAACATAGAAGATATATGTGACATGCGAGAGGTCCCTACATTTTATTTATATATATACACACACAAATATTGTCAACCTCAGATGCCTTTATATCTATGAACAGGGGTGTTCAGCAACATACAAGTACTTTGTTTGCACAAGACAAACACAGAGGTTACAGAACATGCAAGGATCATGACTAGATGAATTGAAGTAAATACAGATTATTGATACATAAGAAGAGACAGCATTCAATTATGGTATCTTTCTTGATTTGTATTGTTTGTTTTGAAGTCAAAATTATCCCCAGTCTCAGACACCCTGGAAATGGTTAACAATGGGTGTTAAGAAGAATATACAAAACTCATAAGAGATGGAATCAATCGAGTCTGGAGAATAACCACAGATAGCAAAAGGAATCTTCACACTAACAACACGGTGATGTGATATAGGAAATTTAGTAAAAAGGTATGCAGATTCATCCCCATGCCCACTGGTAAGATGTCAGCTAAAGAATAAAGAGACCAGGAAGCCAAAGATATAGTCAATATGTGATGAAATATAAACTGACCACACACTTAAGGTGGGTGGTCAAGAACATCATAATAAATTAAAGGCTCAGCTGCAAACAATTTTGTTAATATGGATGAAGCAAAATCTGTGGAATGATACTCTCATCATAAGGAGTAAACAACTGATGTTCATGCCCTTCAAAAATATTCCATTCTTGCAAAACAGGAACAAACAGCCCTGATCAGATATAGAAAACATTTGTCAGAAGGAGAATCAAAGTCAGTCAGAGTAGGAGAAAAAACAGCAGTGACCATCCTAAGTCCAACAACAACATATTATATGTTTATACTATTGAGAAATATAACTAAAAGCTTTCTATTTTGACAATTAGCAAAAAGTTATATATATATATTTTTTTGTTTTCAATTCTGACAATTATCAATACTGAGTGTGTGTGAGTAGAAGACCAGCTAATGGTGTGACTGGTGAAGCCAGACTGAAAAGGGAGGACCACGATCTGATAAATAACTTCACCATGTGAAAAATGAAGATGGGTGAATCGGGATGTGTAAATAAGCATCTTTGAAATCCCAATTCATCATCCAAAAACCTTCATGAAGGAATTTTCATAAGACTTTCACAGGTTCCACCTAAAAAGAAGGACTAAATAGATAAAGCTTCTGTTGTCTTTGACACCACATAGTGATGAGAGTGAAACCCCCAATGAAACAAAGTACAACATCAATATACCCTTTCTGTGGAAAAGTTTTGGAACTACTAGATCCAAAACCAATTAGAAATTGGAAAAGTCAAATCTGAATGATTAACAGAAAATCAAAGTGAAGAATCTGATGAACCCAGGGAATACAAAGAGCAAGATTCTACAGATTAACAAACCTCTGAGATGACCCACAAAAATTCAAAAAGAGAAGTCATCCAGAACAGACCATCAATGAATTACTCATAAAGACCAACCATGCTTACATCCAACACTAGGTCATACAAAAAGTATGAATAACTGTAGTGGAACTGATCAAAAACACACACAAGACCCTAGAAAAGAATGATGACCACAACCAAAACAAGGTCCTAAAACCATATTAACTTCTTTTGGCCAGCAAACTATCAATGAAAGGGAAACAAGTTAAAGTGAAATACCTAAAATGATAAAAATGAAAGTTTTATTTTTTGAAAGATACATATACCCACAATTTGATGATGAGGAATCCAATTTTTAAAAAATAAAAAATTTAGAAATGACTTGTGACCTCTTATGTTCTATACTGTATTATTATATACATTCCCATGTCTAGGTAAACTACCATACCTGATGATGATATAATTTTGTCAAAACATTGTACATTTATAATAAAGTTTTCTTCATTACCCATTCAAGCTGTCTCCGAACTTATATACAGGGTGTCCCAAAAAAATGTATACACACTTTGAATGCTTATAAATACAATGTTTATTAAGATA